GCCAGGCAGGAACTGCTGTTTCAAAGACAGTGAATTTCCGTAGGCAAGAAAGACCCTTGTGAAGGAAAGATCCCAGTCATCAGTGCTCCCAACACTGATCTCAGATCTCTCTCACCTCCCTGCAGCTAGGGCATTTAGGTGTTTCAGTGGTCACCAGGACCCACCAGCACCCAGGGGCCTTCGTGAAGCAAGCAGTGTTTCTTCATGTCCAAACCTCTGCTCCAGAGGCAGGGTATCGTCACACAAGGCCTCAGAGAGGATTCTGTTTAAGAAGCTTGGGCTCTTGATTAAAACAATTGACCAGGGTGCTCTCTTCTTTGGAATTTATGATCCTCATAAAAAAGAACTTGAGAAGACAGAGCAGTTGATTTTTGTTGCACCTCATTAGTTCTGAGTGTGTGCTAGCAGTGGCGGTCAGCGTACCAGGCGTCCATCTGATTGCATCTCTTGTAAACATGAAGCTCCCTATAGAGGAGACTCTGCCAGCGATCCTGAAAGTCTCCAGCTAGGGGAGGAAATGGAGAGAAGTTGGTTGAAGCAGGGCTAAAAGAGTCCATTTCTCTGGGCTACTGCTGTGCCTTAGTCCAGGAAGAGGGGTCCTGGGATAAAATTCATAAGGTCCAAGGCATTCAGAGGATGAAAGCAGAGCTGCCGTCCACTCCTGGACTCTCTCTTTGTCTTTACCTGTGAGTGAAGGGCCAGGATGCTGACTTCTTGGCCCTCTGCACCCACTGTCAGCATCCCTGAGGACTTCCACCCCTCGGGTACTCCCACCTACAGGCCCTGCACCAAAGACAGAGAGCCAAGTGTCCAAAAATTGAGGATTCCACCAGTCCCTTAGCAACTATGACCACGTTAGACTGCTGTGTGCTGATTTGTAAGATGGGTATAATAACACCCTCCTCAACTAATACACAGGATCCGTTCAAGTCTCAGATATTGAAGTTGAGCAATCTATGTCCCAGGCCCTATTGTAGTCTTGTGAAACTTGGTATCTGCTTTCAAGTCACTCATAATTTAGTGAGAAACACAGGCATCCAACATGGCTCTAGTAATATGAGGCAGACTGTCCAGATGTTAAATGCAAGAAGGAAAAACTGTTCATGGAGAAGGTGAAGGAAAATTCTGAGAATTTTAGTGAAGTCACAGGTGAAGTGATGATGTCCAGAGGACCATGGCTGGCAGGACTTGGTGGAAGGCATCCCTAAGGGGAAGAGGGACCCCAAAGCAATGCAGGGTGACCTGCACATTGCGTCCTGGTCTCTCTGGGAACAAACTCTATAAGCATTGAAGAAGAAAAAAAGCCCCCAGGAAAATACAGATAGGGTTAGATGACATGAAAATTTTAAATGCTTATGCACTAAAATGCATTCTAAACCAAATGAAAATATACATGAAAAATGTATAATTAAGTACATGTCACACATATAATAGATGGTTTTGCATCCTTATTAATGACATATAAAGACACGAAGGGTTTGGGGTTGCAGTTCAGTGCGAGAGCATTTGTCTAGCACATGTAAGATCTCAAGTTGCATGCACAGCACTGGAAAAGAAAAAGCTGGCAGCGTGTGAAAAAACATTAAACCTTACTGTCAAAGAAATCCAAACCAAAACAGTGGGGAGACCCCTCTAGTTAAAAATCAAAATTAGACTAATGCTCGAGGCTGGCCAGGATGCAGTACGAAGGGTGTGCGTGTATGAACACAGCTGGTGAAGACTATAAATTGGATTAACCTCTGCTAAGTAATCTGGCAGGATGTATCAAGAGCCCTTAAAATGTTTACACCCTTTGATTCAGTAATTCCACTTCTGGGAATCTATCCTATGAAAATAATCTGAGATGCAGGCAAAGGTTTATGCTCAAAGATGTTCTTCAAAGGGTTTTTATAAACAGACCAGCAGCCCAATCATTGAACAATGTTTAAATAAATAATGGTGCAGATTGCACCGTATTGTAATCATTAAAAAGGTAATCTTTGGGGGAAATCTCTGAAAAATGTTGTGATATAATCTTAATCATTTTTAGGCCTATGTGCATATGAGGTGACTATATACACGTTTAAAGCATAAGCAGAAAAAAATCTAAAGCTAAATCACCCAAGATTAAAACCCACTAAAAACGGTGGCCAGTGGATGATGGGGCTCTAGTATTTATTTTTGGTGGGGTTTTTTTTTTTTTTTTGACCTTGCTTTCAAATTTTAAATGATAGGTTTATGTTTTTTAGAAAGAAAGAAAAGTGAAAATGCTATGAGACCTATCTGGAGAACGCCAAGTAATTGGTGTGTGAAACACTCATGCTCATGAAGACACACAAAGGGGCGTATGGTTTAGATAAAACAGGACACAGCTTAGACGTGGCCCCATAGGGTAGGGGGACTTTACAGGTGAATTTCATTAAGTCTCTACACTTAGCATCTATAAGGAATTTTGGGAAAACTGTATCTTAGGCTGTCTTGAGGCACAGGAACAGTATTTTTTCTCCTCTACAGGGAAGAACTAGGTAGAGGTGACCAGACTAGGAAACTGTAAGAAAGTAATCACACACAAAAAAAGGTAAAGAACTGAGAAATTAATCTAAATCTACACTGGGCTGCAGCTGACCAGGCCCTAAGCGGACTTAGTCTGTGATTTCAGCTGGAGCCGGGTTTAGGCAGTATATTAATTTCCTATTGCTGTTGTAACAAGCTACCACAAGCTTAATGGCTTAAAACAGCACAAATTTATTCCCTTACGGTCTTAGAGAGTCAAAGTCTGAAATCTAAATTAGAGGCGTGCTGTTGGGTAGGACTGATTTCTTCTGGAGAAGCTAAGCAATATCTATTTTTCTGACTTTTGCAGCATCTAGAAGCTTTTTCCAATTCTTGGTCAGGATCCCTTCCTTTTATTACCCCAGACTCCTCTTCCAGCACTGCATCTTCATCTTACTTTGACTCTCTCGCCCCCTCTGGTAATGATTCTATGGGCCCACCTGGATAATCCAGGAGAATCTTTCTATTTTGAGAGACTTAGTCATATGAGCAAAGTCCTTCTTACCATATAAGGTAGTATTCACATTCAAATTAGGTCCCCAGGATTAGGGTGTGGCTATCTGGGGATCCATTAGTCAGCCTACTCTTAGGAGCAGGCCAAGCATGAGCTCTCCTAAGAACCAGGCCTGGCTAGGGCTGAGGATGGCCAGAAGCTCAGGCAACAAGATAGAGAAGACGAGAATACATCCATATAAAGAGTCAGGCTAATAAAGCCAGCCAAAGGAGTATAAAACAGTTGTAAAGATTTTCATAGGCAGAGACCGTGAGCTATACCTTGAATGGATCGCAGGTTCTGGGGTCCACCATCACATGATTCATTCACAAAAAAGGGGCAAAGGGAGATGAGACACAAAAGGCCATCTGGGCCTAGATTACGAGTAACTTTGGAGAACAAGTTAAAGGGCTCAGATACGAGTCCCAGGAAGGACATGGAGCATGTTTTCCCACACCCACGAGTCACAGAGACTGCCTGGCCAGGGCAGAGGCCAGTGGACAATGCCAGATGGCCCCTGTGTAATCTGATAAACTGAGCTTTATCTGTATAGCAGGGAAAAGAGGGCACACGGTGACCTGTGGCGTTTCCCTTCCATCTGATGGGGGAAAAGCAGCTTTGAGGTTCAAAAAACTGTGTTTACATCTGAAATTCTGACTGTGGGGCCTTAGATAAATCACTTTTCCTCTCTGACCTAAGTTTCCCTGCTTAGGAAATGTTAAGACCCACTGTAAGACCTGCTACCTTCTCACAGAGTGTGACATGCTAAGGTAGAGAGAGGGACTCTACATGCAAATGGGCTGGCAACAGTCGAATAAACCTTAAACTCATGACATATTAGACATTAAGATCGATCACCTATCCTGGCGCGTCCCACATCATAGTCAGCTAAGTCTGATTTTGCAGCCAGGGCTGGAGAAGCCCCTGCATGAGGCTCAGAGAGGCTGGGAGACGTGGTCATCCTAAGCACTGAGGTGGGCGGGATGGCAGAGAGGTGACTTCCTGCCAAGGGGATGGAGCTAGAAAACAAGACAAGAGGGTAAGGCAGCCACATTTGGGGTGTCAGTTCAGGTGGGCTCCACCTGCCCATCTCCACAGGGGAGGAGGCTCCTGCGTCTCCTGCCATGTAAGAGCTGAGTTACAAGAGGCACCAGGAAGGGCCTGAGTAGCAGCCAGGGTAAATTTTCCACTCAAGTCAGGAAGACTAGGGCAGGCCAGCCTGCTCCTTCCTGTACCTTCGATCTGTGGGGCCTGCAGAGACTTGAGTGATCACAGACTAATTATCACATGCATTATTCCTACTACAGAAACTAATAACTACTAATATGTGCATTATAAACTGTCCTCGCTTCCTCCTAGATAATATGATTTGTCTAAGAAATGTAGAGCTGGAGCAAAGCTTAAAAGATACAGTCCAAATTCTTCTTTTATGGAAAAGCAGGTGGGTCAGGCACACAAGGAACGCGGTCAGTGTCACACAGCAGTCTTACAGGTCTCAGGGCCCAGTGCTTTGCATTTCATAGTACAAGTGCTGTGTCAGGGTCCATTCCATAAATCATTCCAATAGTACAATCTGAGGTCAAAAACCAGGAGAAGCTATGCTTGTTGGCACCCCCATTGTGACCTTGAGGATCAGACTGATTGTGCAGACAAGACTCCACCTCGCACACTCAAGCATGGGTTTGAGGCCCCCCTGTGTTTGTGGAACATGGGACAAACTTCTATCACTTGGCCACCCATTATCTCTGCAGTGTGAGATCCCCAGCAGGCCAGGTCCAGGATGAGGGAGTGACATTCTCTCTGCCTACAGGGGTTGGCCTTTCCTGTGGCCAGATTGAGATGCAGGGGTCTCAGTCAGACCTTGGGGTGGGAATGGCAGGGCAGAGTAAAGCTTTCCTTGTTGCCTTCCCGTGGGGCCAGCCAATGCCTGGAGCCAGCCAAACTGATAAGGGAAATGTGTCTGTGTATTCTCTAGGAACGTCCCCAGGCTCCAAGATGGCCCTGCAGAGCTCCTTCACTTGTTGGAATGGGACAGTCCTCCAGCTCGGGCAGGCCTGCGACTTCCACCGGGACTGCGCCCAGGGAGAAGATGAGGGCCAGCTGTGCAGTGAGTAGACGGGGGTTGCTTCCACCCTGCTCCAGCCCGCCCCTGCCTGTAGGGCTCTCCTGTCCCCATCACCTGAGCCACATGAGCTCGGAAAGACATCCCGATGCCCAGTGACCTTCGGCACTGCCCTTCTGACACCACAGGGTAATAAGAGAAAGAGCTTAAGACTTGTGGTCAGGAAACATACAGCCCTCTGTGAGCTGTGATCATATACAGTAAAAACCAAGCAGCATCCGGTAAAGTATGTTCTCAGCATCCTCAGGACACAGAGAAAATGTGCAGACAAAGCTTACCACCAAGGGAATGTTGGAAGCTCTCTATGCCACCCTTCCCTCACTTTCCACGCCCTGTCTTTCAGGAGCCACCTGCCTCTCTCATCCTCCCAATCTTTTGTGTCCCCCAGCCCCATGAAACCTTTTCATAGTTCTTCCTGGCTTCCTGGATTTATTCATGCGGTCTCCCCTGGCTGTTTCTTGAGTCATAGCTCTCACGAGCCATCTCTTCTGGAAACCTCTTCCTCCCAGTTCGGTTGGTTCGTCTTTCTCTGGACCCTTACCCTCAACTGAGCCAGAATGACTTCCTCTACTTTTTGTTAATGATACTGAGACTTAGTTCATTTACCATATGATTTACCCAGTTTAAAATGTAGAGTTCAACTTCTGTTAGTAGAGTGACAAGATTGTAGAATGGCCACTAATTTTAGAACTAATTTTAGAACATTCTCACCATTGTGAAAAGGATCCCCTTGCAGTCTCTCCTGGCTGCCCTCTGTCCTCCCTGCCACTGGACCTAACCAATCACTAAACTTCTGTTTCTATAGATTTGCCTATTCTGGGCATTTCCTACAAACCGAATCGTGTAATATGTGATCTTTTGTGATTTTCTTTTAACAAATATACTGTTTTTGAGGTTCAGGCACATTGTGGCTCATATCAATATTTCATCCCTTTTTATTTCATAATGTTTAATCATATAGATAGTCCACGTGTTTCTTATCCATTCATTAGTATTTTGACCCATATGTTGTTTTCAGATTTTGGTTACTATTAATAACGCTGCTGTGGACATTTATATACAAGTGTTTTTGTGAGCCTGTGCTTTCAATTCTCTTAGATATATATCTAGGAACAGAATGCATGCATCATCTGGTAACTCTGCGTTTAACCTGTTGATAAATTGTCAGAATTGTTCCCAAAGTGACTGCACCATCTTACTCACCCACCTGGGTAGGTGAGGGTTCCTGTTCCTGCACCTCTCATCAGCACCTATTATTATCTGTCTTTCCATTTTAGCCATTCTAGGAAGCATGCGTCCATTCTTTTACAGAGCTGTTTTTCATGTTTCTGTTCCTCTCTGTACTCTAAGCCAGGGCATCTCTCTGGTACCTCTGTCTCTCATGATTCTTGGTGCACTGTAGATACCCAAGGGTTATTTCTTGATGGAAATGAGTAAATTGGTTGGCAAACTTGAGCTCCATACCAAATAAGCAGATCGCCATAGTCACACTGGCAGCCACACTGAGTAGACCCCAGGCAGTGCCCATCTCATTTGAGTACAGTGCTACTAGCCACGGCCTCACAGGAGATCATCACTCAGGGAAACCGCAAACATTTACGGAACGCCAGAGTGAGCTAGAAGATGTGCTAAACCCTGGATCAGGAGAAAAGCTCTGTGTTTCTCAAATCAGTGAAAGCTCAAGGCAAATCCAGAGAATGAAGTAGGGGAACCCGAGCTAGAAGACATGAGGCAGAGTCCTGCCAGGGGTGCCAATGCTGTGGGCCCTGACCAGCAGCAAACAGTTCACTTGTGGGACACACCAGTCATGACACATCCCTGGCCTGCGATGGATTCTATAAGTCACTTGGACCCCTGGAGAGGCTTTATTTATTCTCACTTGAAGCAGTAAAGACTTCCATTTTTCAATTTTAAAAACCTCATATTTGGGGCTGGGGATTTAGCTCAGCGGCATAAGTGCCTGCCTTGCAAGCAGGCAGTTGTGAGTTTGATCCCTGGTACCGATTTAAAAAAAAAAAAAAAAAACTCATATTTTAGATGTAATTTTCAAGTGAAGTCTTCTAGTTAACAATGGAGTCACTGCGTGTTTTTTAGATAAATCTCAGGGAAGAATTGCAGACAGCACTTGTTTTGCATTATTCTGCTCCTGGTATTTCTCACAGAACTCTCACCCTGCACTGAGCCAGTAATGCCGGTGGGCCGGCCCATGGTGCTCAGGGCAGCAGCCTGGAGCGTCTCTCTCTAGTTAATTGTGTCTGCAGTATCTCCAGCAAAACCTCTGGGCTGTATGATTTGGTAATTGCCTTAAAAGTCTTTTGTTACCCACCTCTCAGCTTGGACACAGGTCAGAGAGGCTATGCCCCTATTTACAATTGGGAAAATGAAGGCACAGAGAAGGTAGTTGACTTGTGCTGGGCCACACAGCATGTTTTGGGCAGAGCTGTGATTACGGTACTGAGCCTTTTGGAATCTAGCCCATTGCTGTGGACTGAGGTTAGTTTCTCAGCACTCTGGAGCTTACCACTGTGGATTTCTAGAACAAGCCCCAAGCTTCAGGGCACTGAGTTTGAGTACTAAAGACAAACGCCTAGGGACTAGTGGCCTTTCGGCCACATTTGACAAGTTGCTCTGTCCAGCTCTCAGAATGACAGCTCCACCCTGGAGAACAGCCTCACTGGTTTCTTTGCTGCAGAAATCAGCTACTAAGAGGGCAAGTTCAATCTGCTTTTGGCAGAATAAGAAAGGAAATTTTTTTTCCTTCTTTGCGTGCCCTATTCTTTCTGAAATGTTTGCTGTTTTCTTTTGTTGCATGGTTGATTTTGGAAACCATGCCATGAGGATAACAGCAGCAATGATACTGCCTGACATTTACTGCACCCTTACTGTGGGCAGGTCCTGCTCTAAACACACCTCGGGTGTTAACTTATTCCGTAGGACAATCCTGAGCTGTACTGTCATAGTTATCTCAGAGACAAGGGAGCCAGAGTGAGCTCAGTCCACAAGAAGACTCTCTGCTGGCAGCTTAAGGATTGATTCGGACTCAGTCTGACTCCAGAAACCACATTCCCGACCGCTGTAGGCCAAACTCATCTATTACATGAGTCTCCAGCTTTGGCTGTACTAAGCACTACCCTGACTTCAGACCCAAGAAAAGTGGGCCAGGAAAAATCACACAGGAACAGGGCTGAGCTGTACCTTTCCTCCTTTGGAGGAAAGAGAGAGGCAGTTTTCCCCTTCTGTAACATAATACCTGCCAGTACTCTGCATTACAACTGAAAACATTGCCAAATTCAAATGAGACGTCCCAGATGCTGTACCCCATTGACAGAGCTTGGCAAATGGCCTCAATAGCATCTTGCCCCCCAAGAAAAGAGCCAGGTCTCCCCACTTCATTCCCTGAATGTGTCACTGACTATTGTAGACACAATTGCCCTACCTGGACATGAGGTCTTCTTCCTAGTAGGCAAAAGCGTTTTTAAGAAGTGTATTTCTTTATTGTAAAATAAAACAAGCTGGTTGTAAAATACTGGAAGATCTACAAAAATGCACAGGAGAAAATAACTATTGCCCATAATCCTCTCTCTCACACATTCAGAGATAATCATAATATTTTGATGTATTTCTCATACCATTTTCCCATGACTCCATATTTTCAAGGAAATGTCTAACACATATTTATCAAAAATGTTAACAGAGTTGTCATACAGGGAGGAGAAGTAGTGTCATTTGGCTTGGAGTTTAGACTTGGCAGCTCCTGCGGCTGTGGCTGAGGTCGCATCTCTATGACTCCACCAATTTGTCTCTCTTAGAGCGGAATCAGCTGTCATAATTGCCAAATGTGGCAGAATTCTTTGACCCTCACACAGCCCGATTTGCCATCCAGCCAATGAACTACCTGGCTGCATCCCAAGAAGGGGCCAGCTGGAGAAATTCCCCTCAAATGCAAGGAGCACAGGAAGTAGCTAGAGAGCACATTCAAAATGCAGATTCTAACTTGGCAGGCCAGGTGGGGCCCAGGCTTCCCTACCTGTGATAGTTCCACAGTTGATGTGGACAGATCTGGTCCCTGGACCCCATTTTGAATAACGAGAGGTTAGTTAAAGAAATGAACCAGTCCTTATTTTGTTTAGGAAATGTTAAAGTCCAACAATGTTCCAAACACTTAGGAGGTACTTGGGTGAATGAGAAGGGAAGGAAGAAATCAAAAGGAAGAGTTGATGCCATAAGACCAGCCTTGAGGGCCAACCTCATGCTCAACAATTAACCTTATCGTGATTTCCCAAGTTCCCATGTGAGCTTCAGGAAGACAAGTCCTCTCGGCTTCCCTCCCTCTCTTCAAGGTTTAATTGTCACATGAATTGCCCATCGATCTGCTTTGCTGTTCCACCTGCCAGCCCTCCCTTTACTCTATCAGCTGTAAAGAACCGAGTCTTCCATTCGCAGCTCACCCTGGAACCCACTCCAGCCAGGACCAGGATGGCTTCCCAAAACGGCAGAATGCAATGGCTTTCCTCATGCTGTTCTCCGGAAGGCGCAGGCCGAGACACTGCATGAGCAGCCCCGTGAGACCATTCCAGAGAGGCAGCCAAGGGGTCTGTCTCTGCCCTGCCAGCCTAGAGCTGGTTTAAGGACTTGCCCTGATGCATTCCCCTAACTCAAGTAGAGATAATAATTAATCCTGCTGCCTCCACTTCCTATTTGTCCATCTCTGTCCTAAAGGAACGCTGTGAATTAGATGTTATTGTCACCCCATTATGCACTGGAGAAACCTGAGGCCTTAAGGAAGTGATTTGCCTGAGGTCATGCAGCTGGAACTGGCGAGGGGGACCGGATGCTAACTGTGATGCCGGTACACATCAGTCAGGTTCCGCTGTCCCCTCCTGTCCTGAAAGGCTGAGCAGGAAGCCCGAGCTCAGCCCTGCCTCCTCTTCTGTCAGCCCATCACCTGCCGGAATCGCCCATTGTGGCCCTTGGTTTGTAAAGCGTGATTGTGAAGGACACTCCGTGGAAGGTCACCTCCAGACACCAGTTAGTTTCTGCAAAAGAAGTGAATGTGGGATCCCTTGAGGGGAAGTAAAAAGTAAAACAGAAAGATCTCCTTAGCTTTTGGATTTTTAATCAGAGGAACATGCAGGGCTTGGGGGGAAATGATTTCTTCAGGGGGGTATAAATGAAGGAGATGCTCAAAGTCACTGACAGCTGTTTTAATTTATAATTCTGCCTCGATGTGAAATGACAGAGAATCGGGAGGAAATGAGTAATAATTCACTAAGGTGCTGTCACAGCCAGGAAGCATCAGGGCCCTCGTGGTCAGCCTGCTGCTGCTAAGCAGGCTGAGGCAGAGAGAGGACATGGAGAGCCATGTCCCAGCTCCAGAGCTCCCCCTCCCTGCCCGGAGGGGTCACAGGCCAGCCCCAAGCTGCTGGGGAGGCCACTAGCTCCTCCAAAGCCTTTCATGAGCCGTCCTCAGAGGAACCTGGAGAAAATGGACTCTATTTTTCCCATCTTCTCTTTTCCCCATCCTTCTGTGGGCAGCTGGGAAATCTATGGTCTAGGGAACAGACTGTGGTCTCTTCAAAAGGACCTGAGGTCACCCTAGGGTGGAGGAAAGGATTGGGGGCCCTTTCTGCTAAGCCAGAAGACGATATAGACCACACAGACTGGGATTGCTTAAGCAGCATCAACCAGGTTTTGCTGAGTGATAAGACATCCCCAAGGTGCAGTGGCCTAAGGTTCCATTTACAGAACCTGTCCTTGAGGGCCAGAGGACCCCTGCTCCACAGAAGCATGTGGGATCCAGGCTCTGGAGGCCCCGCCCTCACCCTAATACACCCTCAGAAATAAGAACCCCTCTTTCATGAAGGCAAGGGAAAGAGAGGCCGCAGATTTACACCGGGCTATTTGAAGCCTCAACCCAGGTAAGATACGCATCACATCCACTCTCATTTCGTTGCCCAGGACTAGCTGTATAGTTTCTCTTAACTGCAAGAGAAATACAGAGGAACAAATGGAAGGCTTTGAAAAAGGTTTGTGGCAGATGACATTCTTTGAGACACCCAAACCAGCGCCCTGCTAACCTACCTCTGGTGCTGCTACCATGTCTTTGTGTGGACCATCAGAAGTGTATTCTAGCAACTTGTCTGTTGTGTCCTCCTGGGGTCACATTCATGGTGACTTGGTATTAAGAGCACAGACTTGAGAAGTGGAGAATCTGGGTTCCGGTCCCAGAGGAGTTATCTGCTAGTCATCTGACCTTTTCTTGCTGCTTAAGGTTTGTGAGCCTCTGCTGTGTAAAAACTGGGCTTATGTGTGCTGTGTTGTTATTACTATTTTATTTAGTGATGATCAGAAAACTGTAAATCAGCAATCCACAAACCCTGATTGGGGCTCTTCTTGTATCGTGATTAGCATCCCTAGATATCAGACATTCTGACTGGTGAGCTGTCACTAGTGAGGATAATTTGGTTCACATATTTTGTTTTCAGCAGTCCTATTAGCAGCTGTTCCTCTCGGTTCTCTCCGCAGGTCAACTTCCTGCTAGTTTTTACTGCCACTTTGAGGATGGTTTCTGCGGCTGGACCCAAGGCACCTTCTCACCCGATGTGCCCCGGTGGCAGGTCAGGACCCTGAAGGATGCTTGGTCCCAGGACCACCAAGGTACCACGCCTCTCTTCCCTTCTCCCTGATGTCATGTGGATGTCCACATGGCTGTTAAGTCCCAGCCCTAGAGTAGCTGGCCTCCACCCAGCCCCTGCAGGGTACCTGCCCAAGGTTCCTGTAGGGTTTTCACACATAATTCCCTCTTTCTTCCTGCTTGGGCTTCAGAACAGGCAAGTTTGGCCAAGCTCAGTGTCACCTTCTGTTACGTTAAGTGAGAACTTTGAGGAAAGATTAACAATACTCATCCATCCTTGTGATAAGTGAAGTCCTACCACATTGTCAGGTACATAATTCACTGAGAGGCAGGGAGAGCCACAGACCCTTTCACAAAACTAAAGCACAAAGAGGCCTTATGTCATTTGCCCAGGTGCCCCATGGGAACATTGTCCACGTCTGCTTCATCTCTGGGGCCAAACTACCTTAGCCAGGTCCCTATCCCTGTGGTGGTGAACCTATGGCACCTGGTTATTATCGTTGAAAGCTCTAAAGGGTCCGCCATCATGGGCCTACCCTGCATGGCTTTAACTGACAGCTCCTCTCACGGGAGCCCACCTTCCCTGCAATCTTTGCTTGACTGCTCAAGAAGTCAAAAGATGGGTGCCTGCACTGGAATAGGCAGATTTCAGTGTCAGATTCCAGCCCGCACAGGGTGTTGGGTCAGAGTCTTTGAGGCCAGCACAGCCCCCTAAGTCACCCTGCTGGAGAAGCAAGGCTATCTAGCCATGGCCCAGCCCCAGACTGTACCCAGTGGTTAGCTCAGTCAGGTCCCGGTGCCCACTTCTTTGCAGGAAACAGTCCTCACACTCTTTCCTTCTTGGTGCAGCTGGAGACCCACTTACCAAAATCCCCTTTCTTTCCAATCGAAGATTATCCATCTTATGGATTATTTTAATAAGCAATAGCAATCATCATAAAAAAGAAGGCAATATCTAGATCAACTAGGAAGAAACTAGCTACATCGGAGTGAGTTAGCTTTGGTCAGGACACTTGCAGTGGCCCACAGAAACAAAGCTGAGTGACCACAGCTATAGGAGGGCTCCCCTGAGGGCCCTCGCCAGATGAGGAGAGCCCCGGAGCTCCTCCTTCTCCTCCCAGTCTCCTTATTGCATGGCATCTGTCTCAGGACCCAGTACTCAGGCACAGAGAGAGCTCAAAGCCAGGAGTGCTCTTCACAGCTCTGTGCTCAGTTTGGTGATTCCCCTACAGCACCCATAGAAGATAACTCTCCAGCCGCTTTTGGATGCTATTGGTGACAAGGCTTTGACTGCCTCCAAGCGTAGCCCATTCCCTTGTTTGACAACTATGAATCACGGGCCAATTTTCCTTGCCTCAAGCCAAGTTCCATCTCGCCATGAATTCTACTATGGACTGTGATTTTTCCTCTTAGTCTAAACTACTCCATCCCAAAATGGCAGGGTTTTGGATATGAAAACACAATCATTGTGACCCACCCACTGACATGATGGCTGTTCTTTCCCTGGTTACACAACCGCAGAGTCTTGAATCTGGCTTACGTATCCTAAGATCTCCGGGCTGTGCAGTAACTCTGCTTTGGATCCACCAGAGCCTGTTACTTCTTAGCATCTCAATAGCAGACTTTACCAAGAGATGGGGAAACGAAGAGACTAAAGACTAGAGTCGTGCTGGGGGTTCTCCGGACCCTACAGAGCTGAGAACTTGATGTTGCTCCTACCTCCACAACCCCAGCCATCTCTAAAATGCTCCGCAGTTCCTGGGGATTTAGAGATGTTTCTTACTGCTGCTAGATGGAGCTGGCAGTTCACAGTCAGGCCAAATAGTGCTGGGGGGAAAAGAAAACTTAAAAAAATGAGTCTCCCTCAGCAGAACATGGGACACAAGGAGACAAGATGGGACAAAGTGACTTGGGCTTCAGAACAGGAGGGAGAGAATGGAGATCGGAGAGACCTTTGAAGGTCAATTGCAGCAATGGGAAGGGAGGGGCTGGAAGGCTGAGGGCACCTCAGGCTGCTTCTTGGGAGGCTGGGAATACAGTAGCCCAGTGCATGGTGCCAAGTCCTCATAGATGGTTTGGATGAGGTCTTTGCATCAGTCGGGGTTGGCTGAAGATAACCAGTAGGCTTCCACATCTGCTGTAAGCTAGAAACCAGTGTCTTCAAAGGCAGTCCTAGTCTGAATAATAACCAGGAAGAGTCCGCCGACCCTGGACCCCTTTGTTCACAACAATGGCATGTTCGTAACCTTTTTCTTCTTTCTCCCAGACCATGCCCTGTTGCTCAGCACCACTGAGATCCCGGGTCCTGAAAGTGCTACCGTTACCAGTGCCACATTTCCTGCACCAATGAAGAATTCTCCATGTGAGGCAAGTTTCAGTGTTCCTCTCCCTCTCTGACCACCCTTCCCATCTCTCACTGGCTTCCACATGAACAAAAACAGACTAAGGAAGAAGCCTGGATGGCAGGATGACAAGCGGGTCATTTTGTCATGCTTTAGGTAGATCGCATCCACCAACGCGATAATGTCCCACGTACCAGACTCTTTAAACACCTTTGCTCAGCTCACTGAACTATTGTCCACAAAACCTTATCTTAAGCAACCCCGGATCCTATTTCCTACACCATGCAAGGAGAATAACAATGATTTACAAAAGACTTGCTACAAGATCGATCCTCTCTTAAAAAATACCAGGCACTTACAGCACATTTTAAATATTATAAAGCACCAGAAATTTGATTTACATACTTTTTACTAAGACATAAGTGGCACTCCATGAGGACTCCAAGCTACCAAATGGTTCCTGAGGTTCATATCGCTTTAGTTGAGAAGGGGAGGCTGGGTGCCATGTTCTTTCACATATGGTCATAATTTCTAGGAGCCAGAAAATGTGCTTAAAAGCCCACCATGGCATAGTGACTAAGCCCATGAGCTTCAGAATAAATGGCCTGAGTTTGAGACAAGTTACACCTCAAGTGGTGGTCTGAGCAACTCAGAGACTCAGTTTCCTCACTTGCATAATGGAGATAGTGATCATGTCTACTGCAAAGTGGTGACCTTTAAATAGATTAATATTTACAAAGTGTGTAGACAAGTCCCCGTCACCAAGTGAGCACTACAGTAGCTAGCACCTTGCATAAGCACTCTAAGAGAGAATAAGATGTTAGCCACAAATTAGTCTCTAAGGCCTCCAAGGGCAGCCCTACTTTGGACTTCTCTGTGCTCCCCATGGTCCCCACATCCACATCAGGTACACAGTGGAGCAGCAGCAGCTGGCTTTGGTGACCTCCAAGCAGTCTGGGCATCGCTCTTGCAGGGCTCGAGTTGGCTGGCTGTAACTCCCTGTCAGGGACCTCTATGCATAGCACCCACCTTCCTGCCCAGCCAACTGGGGTCCTGTAGGGTTGGTGACGTTTAAAGGCCCCACATTAACCTCACATCCTCCCATAGTGATGACCATTTTCCTTGCACCAGAGTTCAGCCAACCAGTGAGAAGGAACCCAAGTGGACGTTGATGAAACTGGGCAGCTTCCCCTCCCTAGTGGGTAGAAATCCCCAGGCGGAGGGCTGTTGGCCAGCAGAATACAGATGACAGGACTCCCCTTGCTGAAGGACAGCTTTCAAGCCCTTTGGGTATCTTGTGCAATAAGAACAGACATAAAACAAAGACTAGAAAAGATGTATAAATGATTTCTTTTTACTTAGAGGGATGCTTACACTAAAGCTGAGGCTTCTCCTTAGTAAACAAACGGCACTTCGTTCTGTGCAGCTTGTAACTACTTCCCTGATGATTTGATTTCCAGCTCAACATTTGCCCCATTTTTTTCACTCCGTTGTCTACTACATTTTATGTATCTCTGAGTCACTTTAAATCCTTTTTTTGGAAGAAGTCTGAGCAGAAATAAATAGATTCATTAACTTAAATTGTATTTGAGAACCATGCTATGGGATGCAGATGGTGGAATTACGGTCATTGTTGATATTTCTCGGATGCCTCTGAGCTGGTACCTCGAGAAAGGAAAGTTTCTTAAATCTGGCTGAGGTAAGATGGTTGGCCCACCTGAGAGGTCAGGGGGATCCTTACTAGCATGTGGTCTTTAAATTTATTCTTCCCTAGACTTCATATGAGCTGAATGCCAGAAAAAGAAATGTCATGGTAAGAGCAATATTTTTCTAATACTCCATCATTTCTTTAATAACCTTTGTGCTGATCAATAGCTGAAACAGGTGTTTTCTTTTACTGGCCAGCTTTATTTTCCCCACAGTCAACTTTTCTAGGCTATTTCTGCTGTTTCCTGTGCTTTTCCAGAACTTTCCTTGGCAGACATAATTCAGGGAAGAGAGTGGATGTGAAGGTGGGTGCAATGCATATAGAGGTCCCTGCTGAGAGCTGGACCCACAGAGAGTTACAAGCTGCAAGAGTGATGCCCATCACTGGTCACCTTCTCTGTGCCCAGGCCAGTCCTGGAAGTAAATGTGTAGCAGAATGTCTTAAAATGCTCACTCAAGAAATCCCACCAATACCAGTGGAATCCCATAGAACTGAGTTCAATAAATTTCCTTTATGATCTGGGCCTAAATTAACTAGGAAGTCTGGGTTTCTCTGCCTGCAGTTACCCGGAAAATGTGATAAATGGACTTTTTTCCCCCATCCTGGACCTTGTGAATGATATCACTAAGTGGACCCGGGGACTCTGCCTTTTCAGACCCCACTCTTGATAGTTTAGTTCCATGTCAAAACTTGGGCTTTATTGACGGTAATTGTGCTTGCCAGTGGTACCCGAAATTCATTCTGAACCTATGCAGTTTCCCGCCACTGCCTGTGGTTCCAAACAGTGTCATATAACTTACCTTTTAGACAAATGAGTAAGAAAAGATAGAATGTCAGGAGAGGTAGGGAAGAAAATGCATCTCAGGAAACCTGTGAAACTAGTCCAGATGCCCAGGGTTAGAGACCTAGCTAGGGTACGCCTTTGCCCAGTGTAACTTGCAAGACATTTGAGAAGTGCACCAGCCCTCACCTTTTCCCTGGAGCTGCCTGCAGCCGCCCCACCCCCTTTCCTTAGCCAGCCAGTGCTGCTGCAGGCCCTGCCTCTCCCTCTCTCCGAGCAGTTGCACAGGGGCATGAATATTTGAAGACCTCTGTCCAGCCCAGCCACAAACAGAGAGAGCATTGTGGTCTTGGGTTCCCCCTCTCTGCCACAAGCTACTCCCTGCAGGAAACTGGAGAACCACTTAGCATATATTCTGATTTTATTTTATTTTTATTTTTATTTCACTGAGCTCCAGTTCAAATAATTAAAGCTGCTACCGGGGAGGGGAGCCTTTCAGGGGCTTTCATGTGCTCGCTTGCTGTCAGCCCTGCCTTGGCTTTGAGACACACGCCGATGTGTCGAGCGCTGCAGCTGCTGGTAATAAAGCGTACAGGAGAGTGCTGGGCCGTCTCCGGCCCTCCCCCGCCCTTCACACATGCTGGAAGCCTGACTGTCTCAACAAGCCCTGTGTGGTTTGAAATTCTGTTTTATTTGAATAGCCTGCCTGTGACTAGAATAATTTAAGCATGTTCTCAGGCCAGAACAAGGCCCCAGGAGAAAAAGTGGGCTTCCTTCATTTGCTTTCCCCTCCAAAATACGTACGTAGTTTTCTTTCTGAGAGCTGCTGGAAAACAGGGACCCCGGGAAATAGCTGGTGACCCACCAGTTTTTCTGATGGTCAGTTACCAGCTACTGATTTTCTTACCTCACCAAGCCCAGGGTCAACTTTCTCCTCTCCCTAAACTCTCTCTCTCTCTCTCTCTCTCTCTCTCTCTCTCTCTCTCTCTCTCTCTCTCGCATACACCCAGACATCATGAAGTCAGCCAGGACCCTTCCACCCTGACTCCAAGCCCATGTGATAAAAATACAGCCAGCTCTGCTTAGCTTCTGGATGCTGCCACATTCAAGGCAGAAGGCTCGTGGAGGGGCTCCTCCAAGTCTGCATGGGTGGGCTGGCCTCGAGAGAAAGGAACCCACACTGCATGTCATTAAACTCAACAAATGTGGCCCTGAGGGGCATGGAGGGGAAGAGACTGGCATCTGAAATTGCCCTCTGCCGTGGCTAAACCCAGCTCAAATCCCTCTAAGGAAAAGTCTCCTGCTGCAGTAGTGCCCAGAAGGCTAGAGGCTGGGGGATTTTTTTAGCAAATTGCTCCCTGGTTGATTTTGTAAGACTTTTCAGAGTGCTGGTGATCGTTCCTGGAAAAGGGCCCTTCCTTCCCCTCCAGCTTCTCAATGTGACTCAGAAGCAGAGGAAGCTGGAGTCCTGGCTGTGCTGATTGGGCCTATTTAAGCTTGCTCCCACTTCTTCCCTGCAGGCAGGCAAACAGGACTTGCAGGATAGAAAAAAGAGAACTTTTCTGACTGTTGTGTTTTTAACATTTATTAAACCAATGATAAATCCCCTGTGGAAAGGCAAAGAAAAAAATAATAATAATTACAAGATGGCTTGAGGTAGAGGAAGAATCAGAAGCAGGAGAACTCTGCCTGGAGCAGACACTGCAAACCTCAGCAAGGTGGGGCCCAGGGGATGAGCCGGAATATTTCATTCAGCATGCTGTGTGCAGGGCAGATCTTACACGTCAAGGGCCTCCCTACCTGTCACCAGGGTCAGGCATCTGGGCCACGCAAGGGACAGGAGCACCCTGCCCCCACTGGCCAGGAAAGAAAGGTACCCAAGACTCAAGCCAACAAACACAAGTCAAGAGCAAACCCAAGCCTCATGACTCTGCACTTTGTCCTAGCACCCTGTCCTGCTGGGACAGATCTTCCTCCTCAGCTTAGAGCCTCAAGGGGGATTGTGTTCACTCCCCGCTGCGGATTCCTCACTGCTGGGACACTGTGTGCCCAGTTCTTAGCCTCCTATGGTCACTGCTGTGAGCTAGCCAGGAGGCCCCAGGCTTGACCCCAAATCTGGGATTATTTTCCTCAATCCCGTCTACCTTCCCAGCAGAACGTGTGTCCACCTAGGGAGAAGGAAGCTGCCCTCTTCTCCCCCTTGTGCTACTTACTCATCCTTTCCCATGTCATGGCTGACCGCTGACCAGTGGAAGAATAAGACAGTCCCCATCAGGGTGAACTCGCAGCCAGCCCTGCTCTTGTGTGGCCACAGTGCTGCACGCTTTGTGGTGATTGTGGAAATTTTCTTTGTGAACACTTGGGCACCAGTGCCAAGGTAGAGGACATTCCGGTGCAGCATCTTCTGTGTCTCTCCTCCCCGCATGCCCCAGCTCCTTCGGTCAGGTATCTAAGGCAAAGGTCCCGTGGATATCTCAGGGCCTGTCTCATCTCACACTGGGACCCGTCTGCAGTAACAGAATGGTCATGGTCCCAG